TGTTCAATAGCAATTCATTATAGCAATCCTATAAACCAAATCTATTTTAAAAAGTGTAGCATTATTTAAAGTAGCAGGATACAAACAGTATAGGAAGTTAAAACAACAAGCATCAAAAAATGATGTTTGAATGCAATTACACCCACCCCATATGTATTTCCTGAATAATTTTATTAATAAGACTTTTTAAAAATTATTTTATTGATAAAACGATATATTATTAAACTATAGAAATATAGGCAGCACAAGAGGTAGTTTGGGGATTGATCCCCTATTGAGGAATGACACTTTTCATATTCAGTTCAGTGAAGATACATTTATGATGTGAATGTGAAATATGCCATTATTTCTCTTGGGAAATCTAATGTGTGCAACAAAGCTCTCTCCAGAAAGGCACTTTGTTCCATCTGATCTCCTGTGGGGGGAGGGGGCAGCAAGACTGCTATTGCGCATGGTCCATTCATAAAAATTCTGTTTTATGTGTAGGGTATTTTTTCTTTGATTGCAAATCTAACCTAGTAATAAAATATATTCTCCTATTCTCACACTATCCATGATTCTCAGTGGGAACTGGAACTGGTTAATTAAGGATAATTAGAAAATACAGTAGCAAGTGAATAAGAAGAAATTCATTAACTACTTAATAAGGAAGGAATAAAATAGTATGTTATACATTTGTTTACAAGCAAAACTCTGCACAAAATTGGTTTGGAAAAAAAAGATAATATAGAAATGCAATACTACTATTTAGATCAGAGGCTGCATTCAGCATGGGCTTATTTGAGAATGCCTTGAGCATACATAACCATTAAGGTCTCCAAATTATAATCTTAAATATAACAGAAGAAGAAGACTGGGACAAGTTACCACATTGTTACCAGTGATATTTTGTAGTTATCACATATGTTCATTTGATTTTATAGACTTGACACCAGGCCTGGCCATAAATTTAGAATTTATAGAATAACAGAGTTGGAAGGGACCTTGGAGGTCTTCTAGTCCAACCCTCTGCTTAGGCAGGAAACCCTACACCACTTCAGATAAATGGTTATCCAACATCTTCTTAAAAGATGCAGCATTCACAACTTCTGGAGGCAAATTGTTCCACTGGTTAATTGTTCTAGCTTCACTCCTTCTTCTTTGTCGCAGCCCCTCCGATATTGGAACACTGCTATCATGTTTCCCCTGGTCCTTCTTTTCTTTAAACTAGACATACCCAGTTCCTGCCACTGTTCTTCCTATGTTTTAGCTTCCAGTCCCCTAATCCTCTCTGTTGCTCTTCTCTGCACTATTTCTAGTGTCTCATCATCTCTTCCATATGGTGGTGACCCAAACGGGGTACAATATTTAAAGTGTGGTCTTACTAAAGTGTTGTAAAGTAGTATTAATACTTCACACGATCTTTTTTCTCTCCTGTTAATTGATTTTCTACTAAATACATTAAACTTAGAACTAAGGAAGAAAA